TTCTACGTTCTCATTACCAAGCTCTCCGTCACGAGTAAGGTCAAATGCACTATAATAGCAACTTACAAATAAGGAGTACCAATTTTTAAGTGACTTACAACAAGGAGCGTCTATTCTTAACAACAATCGAGTTTTCACAAGGCTCTTGAAACCACCAAAATGATAATTTTACAATTGAAAGAACTCTTAACAACTGATATAATCAAGTCAAGTATTAGAGAGTTAGGATAACATTTCAATAGATAGCAAATAGTAAATCTCAAATATTTATATTGTAAACTTTGATAAATGATGGATAATGAAATAGTTTGTACGTTTGTATCAAAATTTTCAACTAATGATCTCTCTTAACAAATAATACAAGTAAAGTATGAAAAGAGATTTACACTTTAATATAGGTATTGGCAAAGAAAACCTTTATCTAGAATTGAAATGAGATTGAGAGGTTTTCTTGCAAAATAGAATTCTTAATGAAATAGATGAAACTAGCTTTGTTTAATGGACCTATGAGTCTGGATAATCGTTCCCACGAAGATTATTATTTATTCTTAGTTTACTATTAATAACTTCTATTTGAAAAATAAAAACAATTATGATTTGGTGATTTTTGATCTAACTATTTCTAACTAATTGCAAGTATCGAAGTTGCATACAAAAACCTGGAACATGTCTTACTAAACCAAGTGTCCTAATAGTCTCATCAAACAACTTGATTCTGACCTTACCAATAATAGTTATTTCGCAAGGCTCATGAATTTCCATCACCACAGAATCCCTTGTAACTGTTTCATATGAAGAAAACCAATCCGGTTAAAACACATGAAAAGTGCAAGCCGAAATTTCAGATTTGGAGTCATAGTCAGAAATCACTAAAGGATCTCCATCGCTATAGTATTCTTCTACAAGATGGCATCATCGGAATTTCCTGGTTGTCCCTTTTGATCTCTAGCAGCAAACTTATTCATGTTCTACCATTCATGGTAATCCTTCTTCAAGTGTCATTGTTGTTGCAATACCAACAAACTTTATCATTGTTTTTATCCCTAACTCTGCCCCTTCCATGGCCTATCTTCCTCTCACGATAACAAGACTCTCTTTCTGGGCTCAAATCCAAAGACCAGATACTTCACCTTTTCCTTAGAATAAACTGTATTATACACCTCGTCAATAGTGAGAGTATCCTGACTGTATAAAATAATATTTATAAAAGTCACATATGAAGGTGGCAACGAACATAACAATATCAACCCTAAATTCTCTTTATCGTAATGACCTCCATGGTCTTCAAATCAGCAACGATCTCCTTGAATATTGATAGATGATCTTCAAAAAAATCCACCTTCTGTTAAGTGATGAGAATACAAATACTGCTTCAAGTGTAACTTACTGGTCAAACTTTTTGTCATACAAAACTGCTCCAATTTCAACCACAATCCTTGACACTTTTCTCTTTTACGACATCGTGAAAATTTTGATTAGAAAGATGAAGATGTATTTGTGATAGGGCTTTCTGATCATTGTGCTGCTTCTCCTCCATAGTCATTACTGTGGGCATTCTATCCACCCCCAACAAAGCATCATTCAAGTCCAATTGAGCAAGAACTCGCATCTTGATATGCCAAAAGGAAAATCTATTGTTGTGATCCAAAAGCAGAATCAAATTTCATAGTGTCACCCCTGAAACGATCGACCTTATTCAAACTTCAATTTAATAGTCAATTTGGACCTCCCAAGAAATTGTCAAAAAACCTTGGCTCTGATATCAATTTGTTGAGAATCGGGCCAAATAATAAAGACAAGAAAATAAAAGTAATATAAAAAATAATGAATCACACAAGAATACAAGATTTATGTGGAAGAGTGAGAAAATTTCAATATACTAAGAAACTAAAAGTGTTTTGTAAGATTTGATATTCTCAATCAAATCTAAACAATCTTCTCAAATTCGTAATGTATATAACAATGATGTTATTGTTAGTTGAGCCTATGAAGAGCCTACCGGCACCTAGGCACCCCATCTGGGATCCAATGCTTTCAAAACACTTCCTTATCCATTTCAAAGTCAAACTTGCAATCTATTATGAAATTTGATCATTTATGTATCCAGACTTTCAAACCAAAATTATCAAGGCTTCCTCCAAGAATCAAACTTTCAAATCACATGAAATTTGAGTCACAACATAACAATACGGTACAATAGCCAATCAGTAGGCATCCTTAGTCTCTGATACCTTTTGAGAGACCATTCACCTCGAGACAAGTCGAGAGTTCAAACAGTGCTAAATTTTCTTATTGCTAATTATGTGGAAAATTTCATCTTGTTGAGTACTTAAAGTTCAATGAGGCCAGTGTCTATTATCATTGTGGTCGAACCAAACACAATAAAAGAAATTGCCAATTCTATTTCATAAGAGTGGCGTTTCGCTAACGATATTTTTCTAGCGTAATGTTGGTAGTGCGATACAGAATCAGATCTAGGGAGAGATTTTATGTTGGGCTGGAACCTGGCCTATTTATTCTACTCCTAGCATTTTGGATGATAACATGTTTATAAAACACGCTTCTCTTAAATGAGAAGCAACTTCACTTGGATAGATGACACTTCGCTCATATGTGGCCGTTGGATGCTGTGGCTGTTGATATACTGAGGCTTGAGATATTTTTGGCTCTCAGACGATTTATTTTCGAGAGACTTTTAGGGTTTTCTGCTCTCTGAGAGAAAACGTGAGGAAGAAATAGGGTTTGATTCTTTATGTCTGTTTTCACTCTAAATCTTTGATTTAGAGTATTGTAATAGCTAGATGTACCTTCGATTGTAATATTCTGTGTGAATATTGAGAGGCTGTATTTGATTCCTTTGCTGTAATACTGTGTGTATGTTCGAAGGGGTTCTTGGTGATTTCTGAGTGAATCGTGGCTATCATATTGATGTACTTTGAGAGAAAAATCTCACATCTCTTTCTAGAACTCTCTGTAACCTTTGTTGCCATTTNTCTGGATGCTCAACGTGGGATGTAGGTGTTTGAAGCGGTCACCGAACCTCCGGTGCTACGGCCAAAACAATTCTTAGTGTTCATTCTTTAATTTCTGCAGTTTTAATTCACTGTTGAGGTTATTGTTTGTCTCGAATACTTATATCGTGTTGTGGTTTGGGCCTTACATTTTAAATAATAAAGTAACATAGATTGTGGGGTATAGTTGAATTCTGTGTGTAGTAGCGGTGCTAAACGAAATGACTTCCAAAGAACAGGAGAAATTTTTTATGCAACCCAGCACGTGGCGGATAAGTCACCAGCTTTAGATGTGGGCTATCCATTTTTTTTTTTTTTTATAGAGATGCTCTTATTTAAATTGATCATGAATCTACACATTTTTATTTAATCTGCAATTGCTATATATGCAAACTGGAAGCTACAATCTTTAGGCAATTGTTTTTTAGTAGCCACGCTAGTAGGAGAATCACTTATATTTAGTAGTGTTTATCGATATTGTGGATTAAGGTGAATGATCAGGAGATGGAGGAAAATTTAATTTTTCTCGCTATCTATGATTGTTTTCTTAAGAAGGTTGTGTTTGACGAATATGGCAGCCTGAAATTATATTATGTGGACACCGCAGACTCTTTGTCGTCTCATGTGATATTTTCTATTGATGGTAAAATATTACTTAATAAATTGTTATGCATATTCAGCACATATATTAGTAAGATAAAACTCGAAAAATTCTCAATTGTCCGGGATTTTCTCATGTGTTTCTAGAGGAACTTCCAGGCCAACGAAAAGACGCAAAAATTGAATTTTGCTATTGATCCTATTTCATTGGCACTATACAAAATAACTTTAGAAGGATGGAAAGAGTTCTATTGCATGAATTGGCAGACAAAGATTTTATCGGACCAATTTTATTTATGAAGAAGAAAGACAAAACCAAGGTTTATGAATTGGCAACAGGCATATCTATAATTTTTCATTTAAACTTCTCTTGATCTATCATTTAATAACTTTATTTTCTTGCCAAGGTTTCAGTACACAAATGAAAAATACAGTTTGATGTAGACACATCAATATTAGTCAAGTCAGGAATACATTTCACCCATAATATTATTTTAATAAAAAATGTGTGGTTGATAAGAAGATGAAGAAAAATAAATTATAATTTTAATAGAGCCCAAAAAAATATAAAATATTGTACATTGATATTTATTGTTTTGCGCATTCTTGGTCCGACGGGAACTTTCGTATGTTATTGATTAGGCCATCTCCAAAGGAGATACCAAAATACTAAAATGCATCAAAAAATGGTAAGAAGTCAATTTTACCCTTTGTTTTCATTTCCCAAACAAATTGATTAAGAGCCTGTTTGGTAACAATTCTCCTTTTCTACAGTAAATCACTTCTCATTTTCAACCACACATTCTTCAATAAAATAATATTTTCCATCACATCAATACTTTTTTCTTCTTTTTCAACCACACATTTCCCATCATATCACTATTCAAAAATCAATTTTTCTCCTAAAAATCCCTACCAAACACACTCTAAGGGTATTTGTGTTAGTATGCTGGTCTAATTGTTAGTAGACAGATTTCACATGATTTCCGTTGCGTAATGCTAAAGCAATTGTAACATTACAGTCGTATCGCATTAATCTTTTTCTTAATTTCATCTAATTATGTGAAACCTAGTACATGTTTTGTAGGGATTAAAAATTAGAATTTTAACAAAGTCAAAGTCAGCAAAACACATATTTGATCGGACTCGCAATTTTTCAATCACAAATTTAATCAACTTTTATCAAAATTGCTAAAAATCCAATTTTAATCCCTACCAAATATGGGCTAAGTTGTATCCAATTCAGTTTAATGTAACAAGTCAAATATTATATTCTTTTGGGAAACAAAGGGTTGGGGGAGGAGGGACCTCAATAGTCAATTGTAATGTTGAAATATTAATAGGGGCATTAAGCGAAGCAAGAAAATAGTGAGTTTGAGATCTAGGGAGATGGAGTGGAGTTTCCTGGTTTATTTCAGCACCATCGTTTTACCAATTTTAATCTTCATATTCTACACTAGAAAGCCACACCAAAACAGGCTACCTCCAGGACCAACTGGATGGCCACTGTTTGGTAACATTTTCCAACTTGGAACTTCACCCCATAAAACCATAGCAGGTCTTAAACACGAGTATGGCCCTATTGTGTTGTTAAAGATGGGTTCAGTTAAGACAATGGTTATACTCTCTGCGGATATAGCCGATGATTTTTTCAAGAACCATGATCTCTCCTTCATCGATCGCAGGATTTTTGACGCCAACAGGTCAAAGAATTACTACAAGGGTTCCTTGGCATTGGCTCCATATGGCGTCTATTGGCGTGTGATGAGACGGATTTGCACAGTGGAAATGTTTGTTAACAAAAGAATCAATGAAACTGCATCCGTAAGGAGAAAGTGCGTTGATAATATGCTCTTATGGATTGAAAAAGAAGCAAATTCTAAGGAAGGAATGAAGAATGGAATTCAGGTGGCACTATATATTTTCTTGGCGTCGTTTAACATGATAGGGAACCTTGTGATGTCCCGAGATTTGGTGGATCCAGAGTCGAAAGAGGGCTCAGATTTCTTTAACATCATGAAACGAATGATGGCATTGGGTGGTAGTCCAAATATTTCAGATTTATTTCCTTGGCTCAGATGGTTAGATTTACAAGGTCTAAGGAGAAAAATGGATCGTGATCTTGGAAAGGCATTGGATATAACTACAAAATTTATGAAGGAGCGGATAGAAGAGCACAAGTCAGGCGAACAAAAGAGAAAAGACTTCTTGGATGTGTTGCTCGAATTTGAAGGAAGCAAGAATGAACCTGCTAAATTATCAGAACTAGAGATAAACATATTCATACTGGTATGTTTTTATTTTCATTTTGACTAAAATTTAACCAATGGATACTTTTCGAAATTTGAAATGAGAGAATATTTTTGTTTCCTTCTCTGATAAAAAATAAAAAGAAAACAAAAATAGCTTGGATTAGGTGGTTCCAAAGCACGCATGTCTTAACTTGAAGTTTCATTGCCACTCATTCAACAAAACTATATGGGGCTAGTTGAAGAGAGTTTAAAAGATAAATTTGTTTCCTCTCTAATAACTTAAGCATTTAGACGGGGTGGTCCGAGTATACATATTCTTCATTGTTGGAAATCTTCTCCATCATTTGGTTGATCTTTAATCGCAAAGAATCTCTATTTCATGAGAATTACTAAAAAGCATTACTAAGAAACTTCATTTCAATGCAGGAAATGTTCCTAGCCGGTTCAGAGACTAGTAGCACCTCCATTGAGTGGGCATTGACCGAGCTCCTACGCAACCCAGAAACAATGATCAAGGTTAAAAATGAGATTTCAAGCGTGGTTGGATCGAACAAAAAATTTGAAGAAAGTGACACTGATGAACTCCCTTACTTGCAAGCAGTAATCAAAGAAACGCTACGCTTACATCCTCCAGTTCCGTTCCTTGTACCGCGAAAGGCAATTCAGGAAACTCATTTTATGGGTTATTTCATTCCCAAAAATACACAAGTTTTTGTAAATGTTTGGGCGATTGGAAGAGATGAAGAATATTGGGAGGAGCCTTCGAGTTTTAAGCCAGAAAGGTTTTTAGGCTCAAAAATTGATTACAAGGGACAACATTTTGAGTTCATTCCATTTGGTGCTGGTCGAAGGATTTGTCCAGGTCTTCCATTAGGCCATCGAATGATGCACTTTCTGTTAGGCTCATTGCTTCATGAATTTGATTGGGAACTTGATTTTTCTACAAATCCGAACACCATTGATATGAATGAAATAATTGGAAGTGTGATGCGAAAACGTGAACCATTGAAGGCAGTACCAAAAAAACGTTTAGTTTGATTAATCTCTGTATCATTTAGGAAAAACATGTTCTCGATTTCATTTTGTGGACTATAGTCTTTATACCCCCTCAAATCAGCATATGTATCATGTCAAATAAAGTTTGAGGTACAAATAAGAGAAGATTCGCAGGACGACTTAACTAGCTGTAATGGAAGAATTGGATTAGCATTGTGTTCATTCGTCTCTAATTGATTGCCAAAAAGGAGATGTTCCAATCGAATAGGCTCTTAATAAGTAATAAATAGTTCAGTTAGCTTTGGGTTGTAGCCGCTTTTATCGTACACTTTTGTGTATCATAAAAATGAGTAATATGTCAATCAAACATTAAAAGATACTTTTCTCATATTTGTTTCTCTACACCACATTTTCGGAGAATGCTCAATCCGCGTGGTTTTCTATACTATTTATTTATTTATTTGGTGTAGTCTGGAGAATAACCTACCTTGAATCGGTCAAGGTATCAACATCAAGTTCATTTTTTTTTTAAGTGGATCAAAGTAACAATGAGTCAAACACGAGCATTACGTTTTAGCCAATAAACAAAAGAAAATATTTCTTTTCTTGTTACTAGTCGCAATTTAATGAACAATATTTTTAGATTTTTGAAGTCTTATAAAAGTGTTATGATTGGTATTTTTCATTTACCATGTTTTATTATTATGTAAATAAAGTAGACCAAGTTGGATCCATTAGTCAAAAATGTAGATTTTGAGAAATATGTCATTGTGAAAGTGAAATGATTATCTCCGTGAGTTTTTTCTCAGGAAATTATCAACGTCAAAGTCTATATGGTGTTGTCATAAAATGTCCATATACAGAAAATATAGTGTGAAAATAATTTTCATATCAAAAAGTCGTATTCTTTGAATTCGAAACATCAAAATTGTCAAGAAACCCTACATATATATATATATATATATATATATATATAT